ACTGATGCAGAAGCAAAGTGGAATGCCCGTTTTGGTTCGCCGCACTAGTCGCTTCTTCCCCGAGGAAGACGACGATGAAGACCGTCGCGCGGCCATGGCCGATGAGAACCTCAAGGTTCTAGAGCTAGCCTACCGCAGATGCGACCTTCATGATATTGTTAGCGCATCAGTCTGCGCAATGGGAAGAGCCAAGGATATTCTATGGGGAAAATACATTATAAGCGCCCCGCCACCTTTCAACAACGACATACAAACACTCAATGCTTTGAATCGGAACCCCGCAGAGGTTTTTAGGAAGGAATTTCCCGAGTTGGATATCGCTTTCGAGGAGAAGGGGTGGAAGCATCTCGCGAGAATCGACAGAGTGTATGATTCAAGCCGGGCAGTGAAGGACCTGGGATGGAATCCAAAGTACACATTTGAAAAGATAGTGCAGAGATTGGTGCGTGGCGAGCAATGGAAGAGTGATTTGACAGCGACGGTAGGTATGAAAGGTTATCATGCCGTGAGCACCGGGGTATATACAAAGAGATGAGCCTATACAGCACCTAGGGAGACTACCAGAAGGGTGCTGTGTTCGTGAGATAGAGGGTGCATGCACTGTGAACAAGCTCTGTGAACAAGCTTAAAGGGCTTGATCGAATTGAATTTAAGATCTGGCCTCTGTGATTTGATCCTGTCATCCAGTTTTGGACAAATGTATCTGATCCTAAAATATTTATTGAGTACAAGCATAGTACGGACGACCGCAGTTGCCGTTCTTTTAAGGCGAACAAAATTTCTTTTGGTACGGCGGCCACAGTGAAGACAGCGGGGTGGGTTTTGAAGTGCAGGATGTCTCATTCGAGGATTGGCAAATGCCAAGGCTGGACCGTCCATCCCTAAGAGAAATCACCTGGTCATCGTCGTTGAGGGGTTATACGGGTGACTTGTGTGCGGTTAGCGGACACCAAAGGCACCAAAATGCATGGGAAAGTGATGGTGGGGGAAATGTGTTGGCCTTGGCAGGGTGGTGATAAATCACAGCCAGAAAATTTCGGAGAGGTCAACTTGCTAGATGGGGAAACATTGATTGGCCAGCTCAATTTTCCACTGCACCCATCAGTAGTTGACCTTGTGAAGCCCATTCTCTCAATGGCGTCCGGAATGCATTCTTCAAGAGCTATAAAAAGCTACCTAAAAGCCCTCTATCATTCAGCATTCTCGCTAAATCAAATACTTAATGAGAGATGATTCAATAAAATTTCTTCGTAAGAAAAATTGCAGAAGCTTAGTGTTGAATGAGCAATATTTGAAAACGAGGCTAGATATCATTAACGCCTTGACGCCCCAATGCCAAATTGTTTAGACTACAATGCCGGCCGTTATTGCCTTCTATGCCCGGGAACATAGATACTCTTTCAAACCCTAATCACATGACATTCTAAGTCTGATATGGATCAGCGTATATTACCAGTGTTGTATCTACGTAGTAATAATAACTGGTCTCCTTTCCTAGAACAAGTATGAATACAAGCTTAAGAACAAGAAGGCTAGATAACTAGTAGGTTCCATGCAAACTAAGCAAACCAAACGATCGTTGCGCAACCTGTCAACTTCTCCTCCCAATCTCTTAGTTCCTTTTACTGTAGAGTGTCTGGCGCTACGCTGGGCATCCATTTCGGGCCGAGGTTGACGGGCGGGGCTCACAGTAAGATTGATTTCGTGATCTCCACCACCGCTTATCAAAGCATAGGACGGCCTTAGGTCTTATTATGCATCAGGCATTCCTGGCTTATTCCTAACAGCTCAAACCCATAGGATTATTTTAAATATGCAACCTAATTAAATATGCAACCCACCATGCCTGCATATCACACAGATGCGTTGATCAGGTTCAATACGTTTCTTTTGCAGCATACTCACACCGCTGGAGCCCCACCTTGACCGGATAGCCTAGCCGGAGCAAGTTGCGGACTTAAGTCCGCTTGACTTATCATAAAAGCGCCCTTCCCATACACGGAGAACTACAATCTTCTTCAGATCACAAAGCCTCCACTCTTTTACTCAGAGGCCTCAAATAACAAAGTCTTCAAGATGGCGATCAACATAGCAAAAGCCGGCAGGAGGTTTCGGTATCCAAGCGAAACTTCTCGCCACGCAGCAACAATGTTAAGTTTTCCATCTATCTACTCCATTGCCGCAGCGTATTATGACAGCGCGTGCCTCGAGATTGCCAGTCTAGCCTCTGCCATCTCCGCATTCGAGCCTGTCCGCCTATTTGCACGCCCAGAAGATGTCCTGAGAGCCCAGGCCCTGGTGGAACAAACCAATACCAAATACCCCAGTAACATGTCCAACATATCAATCATTCCATTTTTGACCAATCACCTCTGGGCTCGGGATACAGGCCCCGTCTATGTCGAACCGCTTGACGCTAGTGACCACCCAGGGCGATTTGCGATCAATTTCCGGTTTAGCGAATGGGGACGCAAAGGTGCCATCGGTCTTGATGACCGTGCCTGCGACGGGCTCGACTGGCCAGTTATGCGGACAGCACAGCTTGAAGAAAATGCGACATTTGCGCAGCGTGTTATTGAACATGATCAATCAACATCTCCAGTCATACGCATTGAATCCAAGGTCTGCCTTGAAGGGGGCGCGCTAGTTGCGGATGGTGACGGGACGCTATTAGCTACGCAGAGCAGCATTCTCAACGAGAATCGCAACCCTGGGATGTCACGCTCAGAGATCGAGGAGGAACTAAATCGTTTACTGGGCACTGAAAAGATTATCTGGTTTCCTGGACGCAAAGGCCTTGACGTTACAGATGTCCACGCTGATGCCGAAGTCACCTTCATTCGACCGGGCGTCGTGGTTCTTTCTCGACCGCATCCGAGCGCACTAAAGGCATGGATGGACGTATATGAGGAGATCCGAGACATCTTGCAAGATACGTTGGATGCAAAGGGACGCACTTTCGAGGTTCATGTTGTCGATGAGCCTGATCCCCAGGTCTTAGGCAATCTAGCTTATGACGAACCTGCGACCAACTACGTTAACTGTTATTTTGTCAACGGTGGTTTGATTCTTCCACAATTTGGAGATGTCCAGCGGGATCAAGAAGCACTCGCTCTCTTCCGGGCCTTATGTCCAAATCGTGTGGTGCAGCCGGTCCATGTCACCGGGCTGCCGCTTGCCGGGGGTGTTATTCACTGTGCAACGCAGCCAGTCCTTGCAAGTGAATAGCGTGAATGGTGACTAGTATGATCATATTACGTGGCAAGCCTTGTTTGCAGCATCTGAAGGTGTAGATACTCTTGCCTCAATTGATGACCCACCTCTGTGTGAAAGTTAACTACCCTACTCAGGGCTTACGGATAGATGTAACAAAGCTACTGTACTTATGTTTCGTACGTTTTGCGTTAGTACCATGCAAACCTGGAACAAGTCTTGAATACGGAACCAGCTATATTAGGATTAGCGTGTCGTGTGAGTCGCTAAACAACTCCTCTAAATCTAGCAAGACCCCAAGACACCATGCCATACTTGGTAACGTGTCATGGATGTCTTGTAGAACGCCTCACCATCTTAGTTGCTGACCAATACCAAGGCCGAAACAGAAGTGAGACTGTATACCACCTATCAAAAGAGTATATTACCCGCCGGATTGTCTGCTAAATCGGCCCTTCAGTCAGCACACGTATAGCTACCACGCCTTCTCGGCCACAGTTGCAACACGTGCTGCTAAGCTACTGGCTCTCAGTTGTGTCAGGGACAAAGGCTGATATGGCTGGCCAGGGTCAAACCAAGCAGAGCTGCAGCTTGGGGTGCCTCGCCAAGCAACGTAACCGCCGGCCAGAACAACGATGCGAAAGTTCATGCATTAGCGCGAGGCTGAGTCGTGCACATGAGAAACACACCAGATACCCATTGAGTTCACAGACAAAACGTTGTCACCATCTAGAACCTTATTGTGCATCATGTACATGCAGCGCTCGTCATGTCTGCCTTCAAATTACAAGGATCTGGTGTCCCAAAAGTAAAGTGTGTCCAATAATTAAAGACGCTCATTTTGGTGGCCTAACACCGGGGAACCACATGAGACACATTATTATTCCAACGCATTTCCGCCTGTTCTCTCGTTCTTCCTGTTATCTCGGGCTTCCATTGCTCACACCGAAGTAAAAAGAAAAATGCCGGAAAGAAAAAAGAAAACCGACTCTCTCACTGTTGACGAAGCCTTTTCAAAACTTTTGTCAACTATTCAAACTGTCCAGTTGCGAGTGAGCGACGAACTGCCCATCGAGCAGGTCATTAAGCCGCACGAAGCCAAGCGGATCAAATACGCCTTTGGTCTTCTACATGGGCCGCGACAACCAGTTTTATCCAGAGCTGATGAGAGGCGAATAAATATCGGCATTTCTTAATGCAAACGAAAGATGATGGCCTTGTGGTCGCTGGTGCCCTTGGCCTCGGGCAAACCGCTATTGGAAATATGAAGGAAGCACCAAGACTCCGCCTTCCAGTCAAACTGAAGCAACGCAAGAAAGACTTAGGATCATCATTTCTAGGAAGTCTCGCTTCGGTCTACTCCAGGACAGGTCAGTTATTTTAATCTTCTGGCAAGAAATTAATCTAAATAATACGATTTTAGAAGTAGCAAGAACCAGAGTTCGCGGAAACCGTAGTCTTTCCTACGATATAGAGAATCAGACGAACTTCTGGTTCATGAGACACCAAGGGGTGCGTCAACCGCCTGATCAATTGGTTCGTTAATGTGAAGCCCATCCATGGCCGGTTCTTATAGAATCATCCGAACCACGACGAATACCATGACCTTACCGCAACCACTGTGTACTCCGTATTGTTGGGTGACGGGGAATTACGCAACGCGGTTTATTGCTCAATAAAGCTTAAAATAGGAAAGTAAGGGTAATCATGTTGCTTGCCCCACACGAGGGTGATACCTTTCTTTTTTTTGAGAGCCAGAGACTGTTCTATTTGTATATCTAAATAAATTAGGAGATAAAGGAAACTCTTCCAGATGCATGACCCAGAGCGAGGACGCCATCATTTACTGCAAAGCAAATTGGACGATACTCTGAGGGAAGCCAAAGCCTCTTTTCCCCATTGAAACAAATCCACTGGCTTTCCTGTATAGATATTCCAGTTTGCGTTGCATGCTGACCAGGATTGCAATGATTCCCTAGCGTCTGTTCTAATTTTCCTGTGGTGAGATTCCAGAGTCGGATCGTCTTGTCGTCAGAGATGGATTCTAGCACCTGACTGCTCGGTAAGAACCTAACAACCCGGACTGAATTGCAATGACCCTCTAGGGTCTGCCGCAGCTGGCCGGTGGTAAGGTCCCAGATCTTTATGGTCTTATCGCTAGATCCAGATGCTAGTACTTGACCATTCGGTGAAAAGGCAACCGACCAAACCCAGCTTGAATGGCCCTCAAGAGTTTGCCCCAGCTGCCCTGAGGTGGGGTCCCAAAGCTTAATAGTACCGTCCCCAGAGCCAGACGCCAGTAGATGAATATCAGGTGAAAAGGTAACACACCGAACCGCGTGTGAATGTCCCTCAAGTGTATGCCGTAGGTCCCCTGTACTGGAGTCCCAGATCTTGATGGTGTTGTCGTCAGAGCTAGACGCTAGGAGTTGACCACATGTTGAAAAAGCGACAGAGCAAACCCAATTCGAATGGCCAGTAAGGGTTTTCCGCAGCTCACCTGTGGTGGAAGACCAGAGCTTGACGGTATTGTCACTGGAGCCGGATACCAGTAGTTGACCGTTGGGTGAGAAGGCGATAGATCTCACTGAATCAGAGTAACCCTCAAGATCCTGCGAAATCTCGCTTGTGTTGAGGTCCCAGAGCTTGATGGTATTGTCGCTAGAACCTGACACCAATAGTTGATCGTCCGGCGAGAAAGCGACAGACTCAACCGTAGCGATAGACAAGACCGAATCAGTATGACCCTCAAAAGTCTGCAACAATTCGCCTGTTGTGGGATCCCAGAGCCTAATTGTCTTGTCAAGGGAGCCAGAGGCCAAGAGTCGACCGTCTGAGGAGAAGGCAATAGATTGAGCTGTAGCGATAGACGACATTGAATCAGAATGACCTTCAAGGGTTTGCTTCAGCATGCCCATGGCGGAATCCCAGAGCTCAATGGTTTCATCAGAGCCAGAGCCGGAGGCGAGTAAAGTTCCCCTTGGTGAGAAAGTGATAGCTTGAACCTGATCCGAGTGCGCATGGCTTTTTAGGATCCTCCGCAACTCTCCTGTGACCGGGTCCCAGAACTTAATAGTCCTATCACTAGAGCTAGACGCCAGTACTTGATTTTCTGGTGAGAAGGCGATAGACAGAACTGCACTCCCAAGGTCCTTAATAGTCCGCCGCAGCTCGCCTACAATAGGATCCCAGAGCTTGATTGTGCCATCATTGGAGCCGGCCGCCAATAATTGACCATTTGGCGAGAAGGCAACAGACCGAATGACACTCGAATGATTCTGAAGAATCTGGTCTATCTCGCCCGTAGTGGGATCCCAAAGGATAAGAGTCTTGTCAATAGATATAGAGGCTAGTAGTTGACTATTTGGTGAGAAGGCGATAGATAATATTGAATCAGAATGACCCTTTAGGGTCTGCTGCAGCTCGCCTATAGTGGGATCCTAGAGTTTAATGGTCTTGTCACTAGAGCTAGACGCAAGTAGTTGACCATTTGGTGAGAAGGCGACACACCACACCGAATCTGCGTGGCCTTCGAGAGTCTGTACTTAGGCCCCCTAGAACTCTTTAACTTTTGGCAATTGATATAGCTAGTTCGGGACCTCTTTATTGAACATCTTTTTGATTACTAAGGCACTTAGAGCAAATATAAGACCCGATAAATATATCTGTAGGGGTGTAGAATCACCGATTTGTCGATTCTTAAGGACGAATCGTATAGTATTATAAAGAAAGTTAAAGATATCCGAAAGCCTATAATTCTATACTCGTTAATATGGTATGATATAGCTAGGTTCGTGTTTAGCTTACGTGTAAAATTGACTATAATTCGTTAATAATTCTAACAACTTCAGATAGTATACCTAAAAAACTTATTACTTCTAGCCACTAAAGAAAATGTACCTAGAGGAATGAGAAAGCTTTGACTAGCTCACTAAATGGGTTATAGCTCTATAATAAGTGATACACCTAATACTAATATGCGTATTGTAGTTCTAGTGAAAGATGACGATTAAGAGTACCCTTATCGATTTTATAGCGGTCTATACCATCACTTTCTAAGTTATAGATATTTCTTTTTAGACCGTATTTCTTATATTATATAGCTTTTAAGCAATATATAGTGAGCTTCTAGTGCACGTCTTTCTTATTAATCTAGAAAGGATTTCCCTTATTCAAATCGTTAAGGAGAAAGTCTCGAAACGATAGATATAGAATCCTAACTAGTTCATCCCAACCTATAGGGACGTCTATCACAGAATAAAATAGATTTAAGTGAATTTAGATATCGATTTGTTCTAGGTCTAGAAGTCTAGCGAGAGTATTAATCGAAAGTGGTATAGTAAGAAGAATAATAACGCTAATAATATTTTTAAATTCTTCTATAAGCTACCGTGTCTCCCGTTCATCCTAGCCCTTAAGCAGTTAATTCAGCACTAGTATATATATGCTATCCATCTTCGAAGTGTAGTTTGTCTAGTCGGTGAGAACAGCTCTAAGACGCTTTTCTAGATTCCCCCTTTTATCACTAATATATCTGGACAGCGTTATAGCAGAAATGAATAGAGGCATTATTCTCTTAGCTAGCGACTTTATCGCCGTATCCCCCGGCCAATCTAGTGAAAATAACCGCTCTAGTCTTAGTTAAAGAAAACTCTCCTTAAAATATAGCTTAATATCATACTCTACCACGATTTTCGGGATCTTATAGAGTACCAACTCTTAGTACTTATCCACAATAGCGCTAAAACCTAATCTAGTTAATAACTTAGGTCTACTTATTAGCAGAAATCTTAGCTACACTAATCTTGACTTTTATACCCGTAGCAACGACCTAAGAATGACCTAGATATCATTTTCCTAGTCATATTCATTAAGTGCATCGATAACAATTACTATAATGGTAGTAGAGCCCTACTTGATCGTAAGAAGTGGCTATAGAATAAGCTTCTCAAATTGCTCTCTTAGCATTCTTTCTAAAATGTCTAGGTCATCCTCGATTACTTTTTAAATCCTAGTAGTCATTTAAGGTATATTGACTTCTAGTTGTCTTATAATAGTCGAAAAGAGCCATTTAGCATTTCCACGCTCCTATTCACCCCTTTTAAAAAAGAAGCTGGCTCTATATGGCGAATGCCGGCACAAATTACAACGTCCATATAATGATATTTACTAACGATTTAACTTTTACATATAGTGGCACCCCCCGGCTAGCCGGATGTGAAGTCCCTTTATTTTTATCTATTTT